GCGGCGGGCACCATGACGTCCTCGTACAACGGCAGCTCGCCGACGGGCACCTCGGGGGTGGGCAGCGCGGCGACGGGCTGCTCGGCACCAAGACGTCCTCGTACAACGGCAGCTCCGCCACGGGGTACACCGCCTCACCAGGCGGGAGAAGAAAATCGTCAAGGTGCACCGGCGGCGGCTGGTGCGCCAGCACGACATCGGGCAACGGCAACGGCAAGGTTTGAGGTAAATCCACCTCCCAAAGATCAGCCCACACTCCATCCATCAAGTTGGGGTCGACACCATTCTGTGGAAAATAACGTCATGATGAGTACATCTAGTGTGGAGCATCAATCACAAAGCTAAACTATTCGCAAGATTTGTGAACGAAACTTGGTTGCAACGACGCCCTGCTCTCACGCCCCCTCCTCCCCCCACCTCCGCTCTCATGGACCGCGCGCCAATTCCGAGAACCGGGCGTGTGGCTGCACCGCCGACGCCGACAGCGCGAAGCACATTTATCACTTCAGGTAGATTGAACCCTCACACACACCGTTAACATCGATTCAAAATCAGAACGACACAAACTGAACACGCTGCAGTATATCCTCCCTCCTCCCCCCCCAACTTCCCGCGCACAGCGATTCCGGGAATCTCGGGCGGGCGCGGCCGGCCGGCGGCGGCCGGCGCGAAGGTTTCACACGCTCATTAGAACAAAACGCGTTAAATCTTTGAATGGATAAACAGGGCTCACGTCGCTAGCACATCACTAACACCCCTTTGAATCACATTTCAGACTCATGTTTTCTATTCTAACCAAAAAACAATCGCGACAATCGGCCCCACGCACAAGCCGACACGACGAAATTACAAATAAACTAATTCTAACACAGGGTCCCTCCCTATCGCGCAAATCACTGTACTCACGAATAAAAGCTCCATCTCGAGCCACTCCTCAGGGCTAAGATTAATTTGAAGGGCAGGGTCCATGCTGGAGGCGGAGGTTGACCGGTTGAAGGCGAGCGCAAGACGAGGAGTGACGCGCAGAGCACGGGCGTGTCGGGCACGGCGCAGGAAGGGTGCGTTCCGAAACCAAAGGTTCCGGTCGACCAATCAGGAGATGCGACCATTTTTCAGCGAGGGTATGTTCGGGACACTTACCGATCATCACTCGGGGGCGGCGGCGGATAGACAGACGCGGGCGGTGGAAGGGGTAGCTCCAGACGGCGCCCGCCCTGCCGCCCGGCCGGCTTGAGGTGGCTCCGCTGCGCGCATCGCCCTGTAGTGGCGCGCCGGCCGCGCGGGCTGAGGCGTTCGGTTCCGTACGGAGGGCGCGGGTTCGCTGCCCATTCGTTCCACACGTCAACTTTTCCGTTTCACCTGCGGAAAAGACGTCAGCCAGGAAGGACGAAGCAAAGACTACACTCCAAAGAAATTGTTTTTAAAAAATACTTACCTCTCGAGATTCTCTTCATACGCACAATACATTTCACACGCTGCGCTCACAAAATGTCAGGGGTGGGATTCGAACCCACGATCCCATACTGGGAAGCAGACGAGAAGTCTACCGCCTTAGACCACTCGGCCACCCTGACATACGATCTTCGATCACACATGCTCTACTTAAGTTA